TGATAGATGACGTGACCAAATGCTTACTCTAAACCATGGCTTGCTGAGTGTGTTCATTATTCACTTAGTAACTTATTGGTGATAATTGGTCAGTGATAGAATTTTACTCATTTCACTTTTTCTGCTGATAGACAAACAAAAGGACTTGTTCAGTAAGCTCAATGTGTTTTTGTAGTTGTTTTAATATCCTTTTCCAGGAATGTTTTAAAATTACTTGTATTCAATAATTTTTCTACTGACTTGCATATACCCATGTGTGACATAATCTCTTTACCTGGCAACAGTAGTCCTGGACCTAAGTTTTGTTGATGTGTTGTGTAACACAAATGTTGAATGTTTTTCCAAAATGCATTAGTGTCAGAAATGGTAGAAAAGGGTGAATGTAAATGCAGGTCTCACAGATTTTTCTTTTTTCTCACTCTTAGCGTCCTTGAAATTGATTTCGGTGAAATTCTAGGAAAAAAAATGTATTTGCTAACAGCAGACTTCAATTTCTGTAATGAGAAATGCAGGCTAAATAAATGTACCTATCAGGTAGCTTTATAATCTACAATGTATGTTTTACTCTCCCTTGTAAGTTGCTAGAAGACCTTTGTTTTAGTGTTCCATGTACCAAAGGCATACTGGCTTCAATACTGAGAAGTAGTTTGGAACATAAGCAGAATTTATTTTGGAGTCCTACAGTGCTTGCTAAATCTTCAGTTGCAGAGTACATTGCTAATGGAATTGTATGTAAGTCGTTACAGATGAGCCAAGGAAATAAAATCGTGTCAACTGTAATTTCATAGAGAGGAAATGTTCTGCCAAGGAAATAAATAATTTGGGGAAACTCCCACTTTCAGGATATATATTTTGGGGGAACTCCCTTTGCATCTGTCAGCAGCAGAACTGTGTGCAGGAATAGGATTTGGTCCGTTGCATTTGTACTTCTCAGTTACATGATGATTAATGTTTTTTAAACTATGCTAAATTGTGCCAGAAGCACTTGCAAAGCATAACGTTTATGATCAAATCAAAGTCGGTATGTCACACTCTTGTACTTGTGCCAAGTTTATTGGGGGGAAGGAAACTAACAACAATTTACAATTTCGTTTTAAAATTGATATATTTTTCCTCTTCAGGTGCATTTTAGATACTGTAGACTGTGTGTGTGTGTATTAATATACAGTTCTGTATAGGTACATATATATGTGGAAATATATGTCTGAGGTCTACTTATATTATATTATTATAACTTCTTCAGTTCTTCCCCAGTAAGCAGAATGAGGAAATGATAGCAGAAGTTTTAAGAACTGTCATTTATCTGGCATTGAAAGTGGATTTCTGGAAATCCAGGCTTCATTTATTCCCCTTGTTACTGATAATGATTATTACTGTTGTTGTTCTGCAGGTCACCTGGCAGAAATAATTCTGATGTATGGTTATTCTCATTTTCACAGGGCTGCCTTACCTAGCAGATGAAGTATTCAGGTGAGTAACTTAAACTGGCTTTTTTACAATACGTAGTTGTGGAGCATACTGTTAACAAACGTCAATATATGAGATGTTTTCCCACTGTGATCTAGAATCTTGGTCTAAACTACATTGGCTGAATCACTAAAACAAAAGAGATTATAATAATCTACTCTTATTTCAAGCTATCTAGCCAGTAGAGCAGAATATGGTTGTCTTTCCTGTCTTACTATGCTACAGACTTTTACCAAAAGAGGTAACTCTCATGTCACTCCGAGTGGAACTTGACCCACCAGGATGGCTACTTGCTCTGGTGGAAGAGAAGTGGTCTTTGTGCTTTTCTTTTGGTCCTGTTGTTGGCTTGTGAATTTTTCTGCCTCATCTCTTGCTCGGTCTGCTTTTACATGCAGTCCATTCTTGCAGTTTCCTGTAAATTGGTCAGTAAGAGGAAGCTCTCTTGCTGCAGATAGCTCAACACCTCAGCTGAACCAGTACGTTAATACTGGTGAGGTTTGTATAGCATGAGATACATCTTTTATAGCTCTTGCTTTCGGTAAACTTGGGGTAGGTGTGGTTACTTTTGACCACTGCGAGCAAGAGCAGTTATTAACATTGGCAGAGATGATTGTCTGTCTTTCGCAAGCAGTGGTCCTAGTGGAGTGAGAACCAAATGAAAATTGCTTTTGATGTTTTGGTTCTTCCTAAGTGAGATCTCTTAATGTCAGAGAGATGAAGCGACTGCTTTTAGTTGAAGTTCTCCCTGAGCTGGATTGGTGCAAGGCCACACTGATATTATGGGGCTAAATAAAGGTTAGTAGTCTGAAAACTATATGCCAGCATTCCTTGCAAAACTGGATTTTGCACTGCGGAGGAGGACTTATGTATTCCTTTTTCACTTCTGTGACAGACGTGTTAATCAAACCCATTACAGTTTTGCATCTATTCGGGCTCTGCAGTTTGGAAGCACGACGCTTCTGATTCATGTTTGGTCTAGAAAACTAGGCTGAATTTTCATTCTGTTATATCAATGATCATCTGTGAAACACTCTTTGGTGGTTTTGGTGTGTTTTTGTTCCTTACTAGAACACCAGCTTGTGCCTATGCACATGTGTATTTATTCTCTATGACCATCTGGACAGTGTTAGAAATCACCAGAAAAATCGAAAGGGGATCTTGGAACTTGAAATGAAAAACTGTATTTGTGAGTACTTATATGAAGAAGGCATCATCAGAAAGATTAGAATGGAAAAAGTAATACTTCAGGAACATACTGAATGTATGAAATTTTAGTTAAAAATGAGACTGCAGAGCCCACAGAGCATTGTGTTACTGCAAACTTTGGAGGAGTAAAACCAACGTTCAAGTGTAACACTGCAGAATATCTATTCCAAACATCAGTCTGATACATGTACTCAAGCTCTGTCTCTTTTGATTGTAGCTTTTTTTTTTTTAATGAGGTGGAGATAAAAGCTGAAGGATAGTAATAATAATGCAAACTTAGAAGAATATGCTGGATAGCAGAGAACAATCATAACAGCAGAAAACAGAGAGAGGAAGGACTGCTTTCAAACATTCTGTGTTAATTTTTAATATCAGTTGCCAATTTCAACTTCATGGTATATAGGACAAATTAATTTCATGGAATCATGGAATCACCAAGGTTGGAAAATGCCTCCAAGGTCATCCAGTCCAACTGTCCACCTACCACTAATATTTTCTCACTAAACCATGACCCTCAGTACTACGTCTAAATGTTTCCTGAACACCTCTAGACGCTCAATAAGATCCCTGGGCAGCCTGTTCCAGCAACTGATCACTCCCTCAGAGAAGAAACTTCTACTAATCTCCAACCTGCACCTTCCCTGTCACAATTTGAGGCCATTTCCTTTGGTCCTATCGCTCATTACGCAGAAGAGCCAACTCTCACTTCACCACAGCTTCCCTTCAGGGAGTTGTAGAGAGCAGCAAGATCTCCCCCCAGCCTACTCTTCTCCAGACTGAACAATCCCAGTTTTCCCCATAAGACTTATGCTCCAGATCTCACATGGTTTTGTTGCCCTACTCTGGACATACTCCAGAGCCTTGATGCCTTTCTTGCAGTGAGGGGCTGAGGGGCCCAAAACTGAACACAGCGTTTGAAGTGCCGCCTCACCAGGGCTGAGTACAGAGGGATGATCATCTCCCTGTTCATACTTGCAACACTATTTCTGATACACGCCAGGATGTCTTGGCCTTCTTGGCCACCTGGGCACACTGCTGGCTCACGTTCAGCTGAGTGTCAACCAACTGTCCCAGGTCTGTTCTTTCCACATAGAGTATTCCTCCCAACTTGGTATCACTTGCAAACTTACTGAGGGTGCACTCAATCCCTTTGTCCAGGTCATCAATAAAGGTATTAAACTGGACAGGCTCCAATACCAACCCCGGGGGAGCATCACTTGTGACTGACATTCAGTATGTTACTTTTTCCATTCTGATCTTTCTCATGATGTCTTCTTCATATAAGTACTCACAAATACAGAGTTTTTCATTTCAAGTTCCAAGATCCCCTTTCGATTTTTCTGGTGATTTCTAACACTGTCCAGATTGTCATAGAGAATAAATACACATGTGCATAGGCACGAGTTGGATTTAACCCCATTTACCACCACTCTCTGGGCTCAGCCCTCCAGCCAGTTCTTTACCCAGCAAGGTGTGTACCTGCTCAGTCATTGACAAACTGCTGAATTGCTAATTCACAAGCTGCTGAAATGTAGCATTCTTTGCAACTTTTGTTGAAAGATTTGTTAATTATACCACTGAATCAGTTGAGTACTGTTGATGTTCTTATTAAATAGCACCATAACATTGTTTTAATATGCTGCTCTTTACAGCACACAGTAAGTGTGTGGTGCTTACTCTCTGCTTGCCCTTCCTGTATTGCCTGACCTGGAAGGAATCTATTCTGGAAGTAAGCTTTGCTCAACATGCTGGGTTATGTAAGTCTTGTCGATCATTCTGCAATATGTGAGTTGCTTTTGAACTTTCTGGCACAGTGTGTGTTGACTGATTCCAGACCAGTGAATGATCTGAATTCTTTTAAGAGCTCCAAATGAAAATAGTAATGTGTAGAACAATGGCATTTCTCTTTTACCATCAGCTGGTGATGCTTGTAGCATCGTAGTGTCCTGTAGCATCGTTGCCCTTGTGTTCTAAACCCATGGATAAGAATTCCATTTTCTTATGGTTTGTGTAGTGACAAATGTACAGACAGGGCTTGCTCTGAAGCATATATGTGCTGCACAGTCTTTGAGAACAACCATTTCGAAGTTAGTGGGTTGAAGACGGATGGACAAACTCCAGCCATAGGGGAGAAAAGGGAGGTGAAGGACTTAGCGTAGTTCTGTGGTGCGAGGCAAGGACCCGAAGCAGAGCAGCATTTGTGAGCCATGCCTCTGCTGGTGCTGCCTGAATGCACTGTGAGGGAGAAGGGCTACCTTCTTTTTCTCCCACGGGAAAGCAGCTGGTGGGAAGGTGAAGCAAGCAAGCACTGGAAAATCCCCCGCTGTGCCTCGCAGTCTCACAGAGGCTTGAGGTAACGCACGGCTTGGTTTACAGCCTCTGTGGGATATTGGGAAATCTGACAAAGACAGTGCTGCCCACTGACTCTGGGGGGAAACAGGAAGTAACAAAGGAAACAAGTCATTGCCTAGGCGTCCCTTTTGGCCACGCTGCAGAGCAGATGTACAAGCAGTCGGGGCACAGCTCCTCCTTTGTGTGCACAGTAGTTATCGCCACCGCTCCCAGCCTTTTTATACACAAAAAGAAGGGAAGCACAGCGATGTTCCTGCCATGCCTGAGAGGGGCTATCAGCTGCTAATGGCTTTGTCCTCGCAAAGGAAACTATCTTACAGTGAAAGCGTCAGCAGGAAAACTATGTGTCGATCAGGCGCAATGACAAGGTGAGTGCATGCTTCTGGCTTGTGTTTCTGTCATCTTTCCTCTTTTAAGTAGAGAGCAGACTAAATCTAAGAGAAGAGAACTGACTGGAGGAAAAATGCTTTTAACTTCTGCATCTTATGCAGAAAATGGCCAAGAATTGGAGGGGAAAAAATGAGGAGAGCGTTGTTTGGAAACACTCAGCTGATAAGAAAAGCAAGTTGAAGCAAGCTGAATGGAGTGAACTTATTTATAACATGCACCTCTGTCAGGCTTAGTTCTCTATTCCCCTTGTCCTTAAGATTTATTTCTTCTCACTGTTTGTGCTAAGCTTAATTCTTCTGAGAAACTATTGTGCAAGGGGCTGTGGGGAGTACTAAGAAATGCGATGTGTAACTCAGAAAAGTGGGAGAAACATGAAAGAGTATTTCAGATATACTGGGAATACTTATTAAATAATGGAAACAAGACCTGAAATTTTTTGCAGAAAGCAGACTTACAGATGATAAATATGTAGTTGGTTGAACTGGAGAACTCATTTTTGCGCAGAATTGCAGAGAGCACATTAGGAAAACTTCTATTACATTTCTCTGTATATGCAGTGCTGCCTTAGTTTTGGTTCAGCCTTTTGTGAATACTGAAATTTCAGTCATCTGCATTATACCAGGAATGCTTTCTGGTATAATTCTGCTTCATTTCTGTAAGTTACACGCATATTTAGAAGGAAATCCACATCCTGCTTTGCTTGGTTTTACTTTCAAAACAGTATTTAAAGATTAGATGATATGAGATATTATGGAATTAAAATTTTTCTCAGACATAATTTGCATGGAGACTCTTGTGACAAATCCAGAACAGGTTTAATTTTTACTGCAATTCAGGAGGCTTGCGTTTTTGTTTTCAGCATGACCAAAGGGCCTCCAGTACTGACCATAAATATTATTATAATAAGTGAAAACTTTTAAGACAACTTTTGGCAGCTGTAGGTTCAGCAATGAGGTTAATGCTTCTTTAGGCTTATACACTGCAAGGCGTGGGGATGATCACATCTGCCATATGTTCTGCTGAGGTTCAGCAAGGAACAAGGACTCATGGCTCTTCTAGGGTGCAACCCTTAGTTGGATCAGGCTGTATCAATTTAATCGAGCTGAATGCCAATAGCTCATAAGGCCAAAAGGAGTAAGTGTTCCTTCATAACACATCTGGAACAGATTATGTGACTGAAGGAGTTCATTCTGATACTTTCCGAGAAAGGTGTACTTGTGGGACAGGCTCGGACTGACAAAGTATGCTGCAGACTGGCTTGGTCTGCCAAACAAAGTCTGGGAGACTGGTTTGCATGTGTGAATTAATTACAGTATTGATTGTATCATGCTCAATAGTGTTAGCTGCACTGCTCTGTCTTTCAGAAAACTCTGAGTGATGAAGCAGTCCTATTAACTACTGTTCCAGTGTCTCACACTATGTTTTAAAGTCTGTTGTCTCCCACAGAGGTATAGAATTGCCATGGGGGTCATCTGAGAAAGGAAGTGGTGCAAGGCCTTTTGCTGCTGTCATCCTCTGCTGGCTCAGATGGTTCATTTCAATAGTGTTTCAGGGAGGAGAAGGCTGATTTAAGGGGCACTTGTGCTGCGTGTGGGACTTGATGGAGAACATTTTAAAATAGGTACCTGGTCCCTTGATGACAAGAATGGAAGGAATAAAGTATGTGGCTTTTACTAGAAGCTTGCACAAGAGAATTAGCGTAAGTATTTTAGCTTGTGTCTTGTAACAGAGGTCTGCCATCAGACAGGGAGGGTAGCCTGGCCCTGGTGGCTTTTAGTGGGTCTCTCCTGTTATCTTCCTTGTCTGCTCAGTGAAAGAGACTTTGCTTATGCACCTGGGATGAAAATATGTAAGGGGGTCTTTGGCTTGTAGAGCAAGAATATAACGGCATAAAAAAAGGCATCTGGGAAGTACCTTCTCATTCCTAATGCTAAGTGCTAATAGGCTCTACAGTGACTTTGGTGCTTGCTATTGACCATACTTGGTAATGGAGCATCAATCTGTTCCTCACATAATAGATTTAAAAAAAAAAAAAAAAAAAAAAAAAGAACTTTAAGGAGGAATATCAAGAGTGGAAAGATCTATTTTGGGGAGCTAAAGACAACTATATTATAGATGCTTACACCAGGAAAATCTTCAAGAGCATCAATTCTTCTTTCATCCCACCCCTAAGGTAAAGATCCCGTGGATATTTTGTTTTGACAGCTTTCTCCCAGCAGCAGGAGGCAAAACAGCATCTCATGTTCTTCTAGAATTGTTTTGTACTCTCAAAAAAATAAAAAAAAATCTGATTGGGAATAAATTCAAAGTACTGATTTAAGAGGGTTGTTTCAAATGTTTCAACCTGGAATACCAAAGTCCTCCCTGTGTGTCAGTAACTTCAGCCCCATCCTACATATGAGAATGGGAAGTGGGAAAGGTTACAATGAGATCCAGAAAATATGCGTAGTGAAGCTGATGGGAAAGCTCTGTGTTTTAGGTGAAAGATGTACTTGTGTGGGGAGTTCTGCCACACCTTTATTCACGCAGGTGGATGAGGAACTTTGAGGGTTCAGTCTGCATTTTCAGAACTGTTTTATTGTAAATCTGCAGAGATAAGGAATGATTGTCAAGAGGAGGAAGCAGAACTTGATATTTATTGTCCTTCCTTTTGGTTAAATCCTGTACTATCTGCACTGTAGAACTGGATTCTTAGCCTGCTTGTTTCTCTGCTTCGATGTAATAATTTTTATGTTGTCTTCCTGCTATTCTGGCTTTCCAGCAGCTATCTATGTAGAAAGCTGCCATGACCTAGTCAAATATTTGTGTTTTCTCTGTTTACCTAGGGAGGGATACCCTTGTCCCCAGTGTTTGCCATTGCCTTCCTAGAATCTCAGCTTGTGGTTGTTTTGGATAACCTCCCTTAGGTACTTAACTCTCCCTTTTCTGAAATGTTTTCAATCTAAGAATATTAACACTGAGATTATTGCTTGATTCCAGAGGGGAAGTGCTGAAGTCCTGCTCTTTGCTATTTGAAAACAAACCTGTGATGGTCTTCAAACAGTTGGATGGCATTGAGACTAATGCTAGAGATAGATGAAGGAATCTGAGATCAGAGTATATCTGGCTGAATAAAAAGTTTGCTTTTGTTTCATCTCTTTTTCTGAATATAATTAGAAACAGACTGAAATCGCTTCATCGTGAATTAGTTTCACATGTTTGAACGTTGATGTACTAGCTCTTAAAGGCATGTCTTGGGCAAATTTCTGAATTAGTGTTCCTCATTTCAAGGAAATGGCTCTTAGTACTGCAGTGTAGCTTGGCGTTAGCAGCCAGCTGATTAATGGCCTGTTGCCCTTTGACTTTTCTGTAAGATGTGGAGAAATTATTTGAAGGATTCCTTTTTTTTTTTTTTTTTTTTAATTTTAGACTTAATACTTTTTACTATTTCAGTAATTCTTAAATATTATAGTCCACTTCTTGGACCTATTAATACACCACTATTGCTAGAAACTTCATTGCAGAGAGGAGGAGGAAGGCCCAACTCAGCTTGGAAAAATCTCAATTACGTGATAAAAACAGGAATGGATTAGAGCAGAAAAGGATATAGCAGCAAAAGTAACAGCTTTTGGTGAGTAGGAAGGTACTGGAAGAGAGCTAGGCAGCCAAGGCCTTTCTACAGCCTTACATTCTATCTACTCCCCTTGAGCCTGTTCTGTTACATGGTGGAACTAAACGCTTGTGCAATTTCTGAGGCTACCTAAAGGATTTCCCCTGCTAGAAACTGCTAGTGATACGTTGTCAGCAAAGGCTGAGCAGGTGGAACTCAGTGCTAGGCAGATCTGTTGAAACGTATCCTCAGTCTCCCTTTGCTCCTAACAAATGCAGTGGGCATGAGATGCACTTTACTGCTGACTGAGAGTATATTGAGCTGTGCTATTGACTTCTCTTCCTGTCCCTTTCAAGGGAAGCAAACACAGGATCCATTAGATTTCAATATTGTACTACACTTTTTTTTCCCCCCATTCTAAACAGTTATTGTTTGGTTTTTGGCTTTTTTTTTTTTTTTTTTCAGAAATGAATTAACGGGTTTTATCCACAAAGGAACTTTCCTAGTTCACCTCTTACCAGCAGAGGCCTTGAGCCCTACGCCTGGTCATTTTGTGTCTGGGTCACACTTACTGTTTGGTTCATCTGTGGATGCTTTTTTTTTTTTTTTTAATTGTTTTGTACTCTTTGAATGTTTTACACAATTGGATTTTTAGCCCAATTCTGTTGCCAGTTGAAGAAAGAAGAGTCTCACATGATACATCAGGCAGGAAAAAACTGCTACTTAAAAGGATAGTTCTCCTGGTAACCTGTATAAGGTGGTGGCAGAAACAGTGGGAACTGCAAAGGCTCTTGGTGAAGCATGGCATTAATAACTGATGTATGAGTGGAAGGCATCCTGCAGCAATCTGAGATGGATTTGGTTTGCATTGTCACGTATGAGATTATACACTGATGCTATTTGTTAGAATAAAACATACAGATATGAGAAGCATATTAATATATTAATATTAATAACTGTGTATGGTTACTAAAATGTGACCACTGATTCCCTCACTGTACAGAAATCTCCCTTCAGTGCCCATGTGTGGTATGGAGCTTTAGAAAAGAAACTGATTTTCTTTCTAGTCTGCGTGTTATCATCTGATGCAGTTTTAAGATATAAATAGTAAAATAACATTTTTTAAGCACGCTTCTATTGCTCTGACCACTGTCAGTCAGTTTTGAGAACTGAATAAAAATAAGTTGGGACTTTCTGTCCTGTGTTTTTTATACCTCACAAACTTCCTGGAACCTATGAGCATGCGTCTGTCCTGCATACTTGACTGCTGAACCATGTTAGTTGTTTGGAAAACTTGGTTAAGGAAACAGGCTTTGTTTCTCAGTCCTCATTTCCTGAAGTAAAATCTAACTTTGAAACTGCTCTTAATTAGTTATTCTGAATTGCAGGAAGATGGCCTCAGAGGAACAGGTCTGGCCGGTCCCAATGAAGGCAATTGGAGCACAAAACCTTTTGACGATGCCTGGAGGAGTGACCAAATCGGGCTATCTTCATAAAAAGGGAGGCACTCAGTTGCAGATTTTGAAGTGTAAGTTCAGTGGTTTTAATTTTTGCCTTTAGAGCCATAAACACTCTTCCTATTAATGGGCTCTTTAATCAAGCCAGTCTTCCTCTTACTTTTCTGCACTGTAATACAATTTTACAGGAATATATGTATTAAAGACTCATGTTGAAAGAATTTGCTTTAATTGTTTTGAAACTGTAAGCTTTAGATGACAAGTGTTATGATTGATTTTCTTGTATTTAGTTAAATCTTTTGTCAAGGCCTTAAGAAGTAAGACTTTAAGGCAGAAACAGATGGCAGAAACAATTTCAAATATTCTTTTATAAAATAAATTAGTGCTCAGCTTTTTCTACAGTTAGTTTTTTAGTACTGAAAAAATATCCCCATCTCCTGCTGCTGTTGTGAAATGGAACTTTTCTCACTGCTGAAATTAGACTATGCTTAGTAATAGTAATTACTTCTGGAATCAGAATCCATTTAATAGGATAAAATGTAAGACTTTGAGTTTAATTTGGATTCTAGTCATTTCCTATGCCTGTTTACAACTAAACTGTGTTTATACAACTAAGGGCAAAGATTACCGTCTTTGATGAAGGTGATGGGAGAGTTGGCACTTAGCTTTAAGAGAAAAAAAGAAGCACTTTATTGCAGGCTTTATGCACGTACATACTGCCACCTTTAAGAAGAAAGGAGATATGTTCACCCCAAATCACAATACGTTGAACTAAAAAGCTATTTGTAGCCCATGTTTACATTCCACTCTTGTTTCAGGCTGCACTCTTAAGTTAGCTTGTTCTCCCAGAGAGAGAGCACAGGTGGAGGTCAGGCTTGCAGTCTCTGGGGTTACTTTTGAAGAGCTTCATGTGACTGGTCAGCAGCCAGCTGCCACTTTGCTGCTTGTGCCCTTCTATAGGGATTAATGAAATTCACTTGGGCATCCTAACTTGGGTACAGCTGTTGAGGATCCCACTGCCTTTGAATTTATATCTCACTTGCTTTTTTTCTTTATCAGGGCCACTGAGATTTGTGATTATCCATGAGGGATGCATTTACTACTTTAAGACCAGCACGTCTGCATCTCCACAGGGTGCATTTTCTTTGAATGGTTACAACAGGTGAGTGCCAAAACTTAACACCTCAGGCTCTTGTACTTAATTGGGGTAGGAACTGCCTTTCATTTTGAGTAGTTAATTCAGCTATGTTTGTTATTTTGGTCAGGCACTGGTCTTACATTGCGAGAGAAAATTCCTTTCAAATTGTATATATGTTTCCAGTGCTGTGCAAGTGTGTATCCTTCATCTTTTGTGATCCTCTAGTAAAGCTTTTAAAATAGCACAGGGCTTACCACTGCAGTGGGTTGGTGCTTGTTCCTTATTTAATGTGGACTTTGCACACATAGATATGGATTCCTCCAGACAAATTATCTGGAATTGAAGCAGAATATTTAAAGTTCCTGATTCAGTAACACTAATTGGTGTCAAAATAGACTCAATTACAGGAGTAATAAAATGAGAGAATACATGTGCAAAATGTCTGACACTTTCCACTATACGTTATAGATTTTAACATTTGCTTTTTAAGTTGAAGACAAAAATAAGTGGCTTTCAAGTTAACCAGAATCTCACTGAGTGCACATGTACAGGGCCTACCAATCGCACTCAGTATTAACCTCAGGAAATTGCTGTTGCATATGTGCTAAGAAAAGACAAGTAAGATACAGACTAGAGAGACAAACCATTGTTGGCCCTAACTGCTGCAGTTTTATCGTGCTCATAAATGTGCTTGTTGTCTCTGCACTGCTTAATGCTCTCAGACCTTTAGAATAAGGAAATCTGTCTCATTGTAGTGGGAAGGCTTTTTAACTGACCACCACAACAGCGTATTTGCTGGGAATGCTGCTATAACGTGGCCATAATACCAGCTTCTGGAATCCGGATATTATGAAAAATGCTGTGGATTTTGTAATTGCTAGAAAATCTCATTGCTTTTTACCTATCTCTGTATCTGCAGCCATCTTGGTTGTAGAACTGGGACCAGCTCATAGTTAATGTTATGTGTGGACATAAGCATTATTGGAAAAAAGCTTGAAGTGAAAGAAATCTTCATTTTTTAGGCTGGGCAGTTTCATAAGAGTGCATGAAAGCAAGTTGCTTTAAGGCTTCCCTAGACTTGCATTTTTCAGATTTAATTCAATAGCCTTTACATTTCAAGTGGGGACAGCACGTGAGACAGCGCTGAATGTTCTGGTGGCTCGGAATGCAGGAAACATTGCCATCCCTCCCAGACATATGATGGTTATTTTCCATAGTAATATCTCCACTGGTCTTAAATTAGTGAATGAAGTAACTTACAGTTCCTTTTGTGGCTTAGTTTCAGGCCAGATTAAAAAAACAAAACAAAACAACAAAAAAACAACACTATAACTTACAATTTAAAAGTAGAGTTGGAGTTCTAAAAAGATACCATCTATTTCTGAGAAAACGTTGCGCCTTGCGTTTTTCTTAGTGCCAACTGTGAGGTGTTGATTAATATCTTTTAATTATTATTTTTATTTTTGTTTTTCCCAAAGTCATGTTCATTTTGATTTGGTACTAACCAAAAGGCAAAAAACCTTACCTGTGGGTTTATAAGCTACCTTCCATAAATACATAAATACACAGAAATACTGTGTTCTGTGAGGAAATTAGCAAAGCCCGAAGTATAGGAACAAGAAGAAAGAGAGCCCCCAAAACTGTCATTCATATTTCTGTACAGCTTGTGCTGAGTAAATCCTACTGATGTTACTTCTGGATTGCACACAGTCTTATGGTTTTAGTCTCCTTATTCTTTCAAGACCTTATAGTGTGCATTTCTGAACAGGGTTCTTTTGTGCCTCTGTGAGGACAGAACTGTATTTTCTCATTTTAGAATCCCACGTGGAAAAAATAAAAGGCAGGAAACTTTTCTAATTTGGTTTGTGAAACAGGTTGAATTAAACTTTTTCAAAAAAAAGCTTATTAAAAAGTTTATTAAACTGTTTATTGAAGAGGTCAGAACATCATCTATGTCTGGTGGATGAAGTGGTGCCTTTTGTCCTGTCGGCACTCTTGCATTATCCGTGCTATTGCTTCAATGAAGAACTATAGTTGCCCATATTAGTGTTTTGGTGAGGTGTTGTTGCTGATCTTATTTTCAGCAAGGTAGAGCAGGCTGGTAAAGCTGCTTTCTGAGCTGTGATTTGCACGGCAGAATTAACTTTACAGCTTAAGGGATTTCTGTATATTGGTTCTTCTGTTTCCCAGGGTTATGCGGGCGGCTGAAGAGACGACATCAAGCAATGTGTTTCCTTTCAAGTTAGTTCACATTAGCAAGAAGCACAGGACGTGGTTTTTTTCTGCTTCTTCTGAAGATGAAAGAAAGGTATGTTCTACTTCAAGGGAAATCGTATTGCAAATGAAGAAAGTGGATTTTGGGCTTCCCTAAAATCTACGTGAACTGGGCACGCAGCTGTAACTGAAGTCTGTACATCTGGTTCTTTGGACTCCTCTGAAAATAACGCCTGAAGTTTTAACTAGTTGTGCAAATTGTAGGGAATGGCTGCAGGTGGCATAACTGATGTTACAGTTGTCTTTGTATTCCTGGTTTTTAGCCGTGGAATTAATATTTGTATGGTAAACTTCTGATTAAGTTTGAAAACTTGTTTGGTGGAATCTCCTACCAGTATGCAGACTATGAGCAGGTACATGGCTGTAGGAATAACAACTGGAAATTCACAAATCAGAAGTTGAATATTTTAATGCGTTCTTGTAGGATTTTCAATAGTCAAAGCATTTTGACTAGTAAATCCTTTCAATACTTATATAAAGGTGTGGATAAATGATATTTCATTTACACTGTCACTCTTGTCTTGCAGGAGAGAGATACTGTGCATCTTTGTGTAATGATTTAAAGATTAATGTTTTGAATGTTGTGGATTTATTTATTTAGAATTGGATGCTGTCCCTGAGGAGGGAAATCGATCACTACCATGATAAGAAAGAAACAGTAACAGAATTCAGGTATGAAACTTTACTCTTTGTTTGCTTTTCCCTCTCTTCTCTTCAGCTCTCAATAGTGTTGTTTCTTGGCTGTTTGCACCTACAAGTAATTTACTGCTGAGTATTAACAGCTGCAGTAGGCTCCAGGAATGAAGGGCCTACCTAATAGACAGGTTAAAGAGTAGCAGGACAAATAAATCATTCTACTAAGAGAAATTAAAATGTTGTTTTTGTATAAAACAAAGAAAAATATCAATGGCAGCAAACGATTTAGCTATGGATAAGGGAATAGATTGCTTCTGCTTTTCCAGTACTACTTTCCAGTGCTGCAGTCTTGCTAGCAGATGTCTTTATTTTTCCAAGACCTCTAACATAGAGATGAAAAAGAGACTCTGCCTTTTTTTTTTTTTTGCAGTGACTCTGGTTCTGATGCAGACAGTTTCTATGGCTCAGTTGAACGTCCCATTGATATCAAGTATTCTCATCATTCAGCAGATAATGAAGGTGACAATTTTTAGACATTGATAAATGATTTTTTTTAAATCTTGCTTTCCTTCTGGGTTTTGCAGGAACTATTCCAGTAGCTGAAGCAGACTGTCTGATTTAGTTTGCAACTGAGAACTAACAATTATTATTTTTATGTGGTGCATAGAATTGTTGTAATTTGAAATCAGAAACAGTCTGTGTTGTAAAATCATTACTAAAAAATAAGTAGTAACTAAAGGAATTCAGCCTTGGCCAGGAGGTGTCTGACACCTAATACAATCTTAATATCATCCCTAATAATACAATCTTAAATTTTTAACTTACACTTTTGTTAAGACCACATGTTGGGAAGCTGTAGGTCTAGCAGGAAGATAAAATATTTGAGCGTGTCCATAGGTCATAGTCTGGCAATGCACTGTTATGGTTCAGTCTGGTTTCTGTGACGAGGGCAAAGGGATGCACGGATCCATGCCCTGGGGGAAGAAGGGTGTTGGGGGAGGTACATGCTGAAAGTGTGTTCTGACAATGTGGTGAAACACTGTGGAGATGGCTGCCTCTTAGCTAGACTGTGAAAACAATTCATCTGTCCCAAGAGTTAGCAGTAATTCACTCTGGGATGTTGTTGCATCTGTGCTGTAGCCTGCTTAGTGCAAACCAGAACTTCTCCCAGTTCAGGAAGATCTCGCATTAGGCATTTGAATGGCCTGGGTGGGGCACGTTGGTTGACATCCTTCAATGTAAGGCTTGAAGTGTGTCATTCTTAGCATTCTTTTTTTAATTCAGTTTGATAACTTGCTGTAGCAATTCTGGTCGTGTGTGTTTATTTTTTAGATAGAAATGGGGATTTTACAGAAAGCCTGTCAGATTGAGATTCACAGCATATTTAGCAACTAACTTCTTAGTCAAGAAACACAGTACAGTCCAAATGAGGAGACTTGCTTTGTGATCCTCCAGAGTTCCTCCAGTAGGCATTTTCTGCCCTTTCAGATTTCTCAGGGTAGGGTTGATTGGAGCAAGTACTCTGATTTCCTGAAAGGAAATTCCTGACCATTTTTCCTGACTAGAACAAAAGAAAACAAAACAAAACAGGAGTTTGACTGTGTAGGAAATCCGGTTGCACTGTTGCAAAGCAGAGGAAAACACTCATCAGCATTTTGTATAGGGTTGTGGTTTAGAATATCAGTGTTTATGGGAGGGAAGGGTTGTATACAATATGAATTATGTTTGGAGAGGCCTGGAAGCCTAAATAAGGGTAATTATTATAACAGTTAACTGATTTTTATCAGCTTAACCTTAGCCTTTTCCCCAGCCCCCACTGAAGCTCTTTCTCTAAGGAAATACTGTGTATTGTTCTTAAGGCTCATATCACAGTCAATGATGAGAAATTACTGCCTGGAGGCAGCATGCTTTTCATGTCTTGATTATTTTGACTTAGAGACAACATTTAAGTCATTTGTTGTGGTGTATTTTGTTACCAGAGCAAGGCAAAAGAATTCATTGTTTTGCAGATGATGAGGCTTTCTTAGGCACTCATACTGCAAAGTCATGAAAGTTGCTATGGTAGGGTTGCTTTTGAGTTGCTGAGTTTTTATTTTTCCAACGTGTTTAGCAAGTATATCAGTTTGTAGCTGTGCCTCTTAACTGATCTGAAGTTTTCTGAGAAAGTGTCACACCAGAAGGTACATTTTCATTTCAGAGGCAGAGAAAAACAAGTGTTATGTTTTTCATTCGCTGTTGTAAGCAGTGGCTTTCTTGATTGATGTCAAAATTAAAGAAAACACATGCTATAAATAGCAGAGAGGTGGTTGTCTGAGTCTGACACGGATTTTTACTTGCAGATTATGACCAGGAGGAAGACGATGAGTCCTACTTGCAGCCAGATACTTCTGACATAGTGAAAGATGGTATGTGATTGCTTTTATTCCCTTCAGAAAATGCTGCCAATGAAGATCATATTTGTGTAGGATGACAGATCACTGTTTTTGCTTAGTCATACCTAAAGCACTGCAGGTGGCAAAATGACTGACAAAAGACACAGGTATCAAATCTTAAGAGGTATTAAGGGTGGGAAGAGCCTAGTAACAGCAGTAACAAACAGTTTCTGGCAAGTCTGCTGCCCTGAAGAACCTTTAGGTGGTCCTCCAGTGTGGAGGAGGGGGTAATGCTTTTTAAATAGCCTTTTTCCCTTTATTTCCAACAAAGGAAAAATTCTTTGCTAAGTTGACATAACCCATGCCTGAATAAAAATTGCAGGAGGTCAGTACATGTAGTGTGCAGTTGTGCTGAAATGTTTATCCAGCATCTTAGGAACTGTCAGACCAGATTATAATGAATATATCTTAAACCACATAAAATAAAAGTCCAGTTTCTTGACATGTTTTGTTTCTCTGCAGTGTGCTATATTTGCTGGGTATTTTCTCTGTGCAGATATCATGGTCCTGCCCCCAGCCTACCCACCTCCACCGGTCCCTCATGTCAGAAAAGTTGCCTACTCGGAGTCAAGGTCACAATCCTTTAGTGGAAAAACTGCTGGGTCAGCAGCACCACCACCACCTCCAAAAAGGAGCTTACCTGAGATCAAGACAGAGGATTTCTTCAGTGTGAGAGAGCCCCAGTTACCGTGCCGAGCTGAACCTAACCTAAAGATTCAGTCCTCCAGCCGGAGACCAAGTGAGCAGCTGCCTCCTGTGCCCCCTTTGCCTCTTTTCAAAAAGCCTTTTAGTGTCAAAGAACCTTCCTCACTGCCTCCAGAACCTCTGCCTCTGTCTCACGTTCTCAATACTCCAGAAGGATGCGAGAAACTAAAAACCTTAAACCTTTCACCACGAACTCCTCCTCCACTGCCAAGCAACAAACCCAAGTTGTCCCAGATAACAGAAAAACCAATAGAAACCAAAGTGCCAAGAGAACATGGCAAACCGGGACTGTTTGTGCCACCAGTGCTCCCGAAGCCACCCGTGCCAGGCCACCAGCATCCTGTACTTAAACCTAGACCAGAGAAGCCTTCATGTCCCCAATTACAGTAAGTGTGAAAATACATCCCAGTATCACATTTTCCATGGAGTTTTTGTTAATCAGTTCACAGACATCATTTGTCAGATTCACATCAATGTCTGCTAGTCTTCTCTGCACCGTTCCTCTCATCCTCAGTACATGCTTTTTTGCCTGAGTATTTGTTATTTGGAGATTTTGTAATGAATTTTACTCTTGAAATAATTCAGAAATAAATAGATCACTTGGGGGGAAAAAAAAGACAAATCGCTTTTTTTTTGTAGTTTGTTTTTGTGGGTGCCATAAAGACTTTTAATCATAATGAATAAGAAACCTTTGTGTCAGAAAGTCAGTGAACCACAAAAAATGATTTTAGGCCTCTGTGGAGACAGGAAATTTCTTATGTTAAAATCAGCTTTAGTAAGGATGTGCAACTAGCTGTGATGCTTAGGCAGTTGGAATTACTTTTGTCAGATCATTCAGTTTTATAGAAAGAATAGAAGATATAGAAATATAGAAGAAAAATACCTCAAATGCAGTACAAGAAAGAGAGATGGATTTATGGGAGTGAGTCCATCCACCAAGATGTTTGAGCACGTGATACATGAGTAGAGGCTGACAGAATTTGGTTAGCTCAACCTTTAGGAAAGCTAATAGGAGATGTCACTGCTGTTTACAGCTACAGCAAGGCAGGGAGAATACAAACCAAAAGATTTGCAGTGACATGGCAAGAGGCAACAGACAGAAGTCATGACTTTGGAAATAACGGTTAGATATAAGTTATAATTTCATCTTGTGGATGGTCAACTCAGAAAGGCTGTGGAATCTCCATCCTTGGGGATACTCAACACAGCTGCCTGAGCTATTTGGACCTGCTTTGTGCAGGAGCTTGGACCAAATCATCTACAGATGTCCCTTTCAACCTGCGTTATTCTGTGATTCTAAAGCTGCTAAGTCCGAAACTGAAACTTTCTCTTAAGTTCTTGTTTTATTATCTTTTCAGTGGTTGGTATATTTGTTTTCAGTGAAGATGTCCTTCAGTTTTTGTTCTGTTTCTGCCAGGAGATCACCACCAGATGGGCAGAGTTTTAGAAGCTTCTCATTTGAAAAACCAGCACTGCCCTCCAAGCCAAGTCAAGCGAATGATGATTCTGATGATGACTATGAAAAAGTAAGAACAAACAGATGATACATTCTTAAAAGACCATTTTTCTTGCTTTCTCTGTGGGAGAGCTTTGGGACATGTTTCATGGGGAAAAAAGGAGAAAGAACTTGAAAATGCAGTGCTGTGTGATTTGTACATCTAAGGAATGCCTTTATAAATTCTGGATTGTAGCCATTGGTATACAGGAGGAAGAAACATAAGATTAAAGCACTATTAACAAGTTCAGATATCAACAGCTGTAGCTTGTTTGGATAACATGTTAGTATTTTGAGTTTTCATTGTCCTTCGTGGTCACTTAATTTCTTTGTATTTTCCTACAGGTTGAGCTGCCTACTTCAATATTTGTTAATACCTCTGAATCCTTAGAAGTTGAAAGGTAGATGTGGCTTTTAAAAAGTTGCTTAAAATCCTACAGATATCTGTATTGAACAGTAGTTCAAAAATCATTTTGAGATATATAATTTGTGTTTAAAAACATGGGAATATATTTAAATCACTTTAATGTGGAAATCGCTTTCCAGCAGAGATGGTTAAGTGCTCATGTATCAGTTGAGAAAACAGAGTGCTTACGAAATGATTTTACCCCCTCTGGAAACAATTGTTCTGCCAGGATATTAAGGGGACAGAAAGCCAGATCTTCTATGACACATTGCTGATTGGTATGCTAGAACAGTAAAATTCTGTCCAATATGATGTAATATAAATTATTACAACTGAAACATGTATTTTAATAAGAATTGCTCGCAGTGTGCCCTTTTGGCCAAAATGGGTAATGTTATCCTGGGGTGCGTTAAAAAGTGTGGCCAGCAGGTCGAGAGGTGCTCATCTCCTCCTACTCCACCCTGGTGAGACCATATCTGGAGTGCTGTGTCCAGTTCTGGGCTCCCCAGTTCAATAAAGACAGGGAACTTCTAGAGAGTCCGATGGAAGGCTTCAGAGATTGCAGGGGGCTTGGAGCCTTGTCCCTTATAAGGAAAAGCTGAGATACCTGTGTCTGGGGAGATTCAATGTGGATATTAGGAAAAAATTTATTCTCAGAAAGAGTGGTAGTGCACTGGAACAGGCTGCCCAGGGAGGCAGTGGAATCGCCATCACTGGAGGTTTTCAAGAACAGGGTGAATGTGGCATGTGGCTTTGAGAACATGGTGGTGAGTGGTTGATGGTTGGACTTGGATGGTCTTAGAGGACTTTTCCAACCACCGTGATTCTATGATTCTACAATTAGCAAGGACTATAAATATCTAAGGGGCAGAAGTGGACGGAGCCAGGCTTTTTTCAGTGGTGCCCAGAGACAGAACAAGGGACAGTGGGCATGAACTGATACACAGAAAGTGTCATTTGGACATGAGAAAGAAGTTACTTACTGTGAAGGTGACAGTGCACTGGGACAGGCTGCCCACAGAGTTTGTGGAGTCATCTTCTCTGGAGATACTCAAAACCCACCTGGAAACGTTCCTGTGCAACCTACTTTAGGGAACCTACTTTAGTAAAGGGGTGGAGGGGTGGCTGGACTCCAGAGGTCACTTCCAGCTCCTATAATTCCATTATTACGAGAATCTACGTGTTAATGTTTTCTGGATCAGATAAGTAACATATGTAATTATTGCATTGTTTTTATTTTAGGATATTTAAAGCTAGTAGCCCAAAGGGACAGCCACAAAATGGATTATACTGTATTAGGAACTCATCTACTAAGGCTGGAAAGGTAACTTGCAATTGCAGAATCTACCCCTACAAAAACCTTTTGGACTTAGAGATGCTGTGTTTTTACATGTTAAAAGTACTTAGATTTTCCTGCTTGTTGTTAAGTACTGAAACCACTGCTATTATAACTTCAGTGATTTTTTTTTAATAGGCTGGTCAGTTGATTGTAAATAATTCCTTAATTCTGTATTGACTTTGAGCTTTATCAGTTTAAACTGATTTTGTTGCTCTTTTCATTGTTCAGGTATTAGTTGTATGGGATCAATCTGCCGAAAAAGTGAGAAACTACAGAATATTTGAGAAGGTGAGTGGCTCTCTTGTGTGTGAAGCTTTTGTGTATGTTTACATATGCATGATATAATATGCATATTATGTGCAAATACATGCGTATGCATCACAATTAACGAGTCAAACTTACCCCAGCCCTAGAAGTCAAAGTCAGCTGCTTTACAGGTATTTGTTCCAGGATGAGAATTCAAGTAACTAGATCTGGGCTTTTTGATTGCTGTACTGTACAAAAGATAAAGTAGCTGCAAATGTCCAAATCTAAATATCAGCCCCAGTTACGTTCCAGGGGAAGGTCTATGAAGTTCTTGAGTTTAACTTGGACTTAGACGTCTAAGTGAGAAGCTTGCAGTGCAGCAGCTTGATGGAAAGATCTCAGTTCTGATAATGTATTTTACTTATTGTTGTCAGTGTTTGCTGGGTGTTTTGTTTCTTTTTCTTTTTAAACACTGAGTAGGAAATATTGCAGTCAGTGACCGTGTATATTTCTGTTCTACCACAGGACTGTAAATTCTACCTGGATGCAGACATCATGTTTCTGAACATGGGGAGTTTGGTTGAATACTATAGCACTCATGTCCTACCTAGTCACGGCAGCCTGATTCTTCGGTGTCCTTATGGTTACTCTAAACCAAGCTGACAGGGCCGGCATAATTCACTGACACTGAGGAAAAATGGGTTCTCTGCTGTCTTGGAATTAAACGTGGACTTCTGCCACTGCTGGATTTCCCGTTGCTTGCACACAAAACCTGAGTTAATTTCAACCATTTGTTTTCATGTGAGCTATATCTCCACTTAATGAACTCTTGGTAAAGTTTCGTAATGCAGATCAGTGGATTTTGTGCCTTTCTCTCAGAAAGATCTGAACAGACTGTTCTGTGAAGGCCATCTGCAACACCTGCACCTTTTGTTGAAACTGCTGCTATTACTGATCTCCTTGGAATGTGGAGAACAATGTCCACGTGAACAAAGAAGTGTTGTGAATACAACCAAAGCACAAGAGGGAAACTTCTGAAAATACATGAGAATTCATTTGTGGCAGGGAATACTAATATTCTGACTTGAAGGTTTTTACTCCTTAAGTCAGGGCTGGTGCTGAACTTGTATTACTTGTATAGCTGATGTGCAAATAATGAAGTCTTTTGTGCAAATAATTTGGTTTACTGCATGTAAAGATGATTGGGAAATGCAACATTTTCTAAGCCAATTGACACATAAATGTAATTTGTGATTAAAATGTCCACAGTAATCAATACTGGGGTACTGTCCAACAGATAGGGTTATGGCATCATATGTATTATTTAAGAACACTTCAAGTAGGTTAGGGTAATGCTGATTTGGTTTTAATGGGCGTCCCATTCCTTATTTCCAAACCAGAAGGTTTTTTAAAACACAAGAAAAAGCTACAATTATTGTGATGTTACAATTAGTCTATAAGATGTTGTGGTCAATTTGTGAGGATCAGGTTGTCAGCCAAGTGCATTCTCTTCTGTTTGGGTGCAAAGCACCCTGTTCTAGTCTACTTTTTGTAGAACTCTACTAATTTTTTCATTATTAAAATCTCTATTAGATCAAAGCAAATGCAATGCAAACGAGATAAAATTAGTTTTTAATGTACCATCAGCACTATCAATTATGGGTGTTTGCAGGGTGCTTATGTTTGTTCCCTAATATCATGGGGATAAATATCCTAAACACAAGGGCTTGGTGGTTCTGAAATTGCCCTACTCCTGAATTTTTGTAAAGAGAAAGCTATTTTAATGACCTGCTACAATAACTTGGTTAATGCAAAAGTACTGTCAAATTATTATCTTTAATAACGTTAATGAGACTTAATAAAAAAAAGAATAATTTGCTGTAATTCTTGAAACAGGAGAAGCTATCTGGTTTCTGTCAGTTTGAATCCATAAGTTTCCAATCCATAAGTTGAATCCATAAGAACATAAAAGTTCCACTTTTCTGCTAACTTTACAGGAGCTATACTTGCCAGGTTTAATCTTATTGTTATTAAATGGTCACAGCTTTAAGAACATTAAAATGTTACAGAATAAGAATTTTGTTTTATGAAAACAGTAAAATAGGATTTAATCCCTAAGGGATTTTTCTTAATAAGCTGTAATAATAGGACCTCACATAGAGCCAGCAATTCTTACCTTAATTCCTTTATTTTGTTTGAGACAGATATGCACAATATCAGTATCTGCTTTCTGTTCCCACTGTAATAAACATTTTTGTGAGTGTAAATTAAAGAATGTGCAGTACTTAAATTTCAGACTCTGTTGAATATCAGATTTGTAATTCCTTTTATTTTAGGTAAGTATGTCTGTGGTTCACTGATCTGATGTGATCCACTCCACAAAGAAAGCTCAGCTAACAGTGCACTCATAAAGATGTTGGCTTTTTAGATGTGTGTATCTGTATTTTAGGCAAGCTCTATTTTTAATTTTTTTACAGTATTTATACATACTGTTTACAGAGTAAATTTTTCTCTCTCTAGGAATAACTGACTCACTCCATCATGACAGTCATACTTACAAACGTGCTATGGGGCCAAATTCAGGTATTAATTTTTTTATTTTTGTTTGCAAATATACTCTCAAGATTTTTGAACTGTAAAAATACCTGTGTAATCCAGTACATATAAACCATAACACTGTCTTTACCTGTATAAGACATGCAAATATGTAAATGTTAGTTTTCTTTTTTGCACAAATGTATATATTTCTGCAGTGGATAAACTTCCAATGCCAACTCGCCTATTTTGTGCAGTCTCACTGAACTTGCTGAGTACGTGCTTTAATACTTTCTCTTGTAATTGGGTAAGTAGTGCTCTTCTAACTTCACAATTGGAAGAATTAGGTTTTAGCCCTCTTGAATCAAATTTTTTTGTAAGCAACCATGTCAGACATTTGGCATTCTGGCCATCAGATAACATGGCTGGAGGTGAAAATTATCCATTTTCTATTTACTTCTAAGGTTCTTGAGTGAGAATTGAGGACTGAAGCATTCATTTTATCTACGAGCACAAAACACAAGTGCAGCCACAATAAAAGGTTCCTCAGAGGAAGAGGAATGTGCTGTGCAAGAGAGCCAAGTCTCCAAAGGACTTCAGCAGCTTGCAGGGAGGAGAGGCCCTTTGCATTTCCCAGCACCTAACAGCCCTTCTGTTCAGCAATGTTGGCGTCACCCAGCAGGTTTCTCTGATGCCTCCTGCAGGCAAGTGGGAGGGGCAGACAGGGACGCACTAAGCAATTCTTTCAGATGGATTCTAAAGAAATCTGTAGTCACTCTCTCTTCTGAATCATCTTGCTCCTATGTACTGCTCTAGTCTGTTTGGTGGAGAATTAGATAAGGTTACATTTCTGGTGTTTGTAGGGAAGAAAGGCACAGTTTAGAGCTCACAGTCTGTCTCCTATGTCTCTCACACATCTGATACGCCCCACTGCAAGCTCCTTATCTTAAAGTGGTTTGGGGGAGAAGTGTAAAAGCAGTATTTGGCATGCCAAAATATGCAGTTTGTGAGTTTGGTAACATAGAAGTCAAAATAATTGCTACTAATTTTGGACAAAATTCTGCACTTTCTGGCCAAATTTCTGCGAAAGGTTTGTATTTGTGGAGGAATAATTTTTCTAGGGAAGAAAAAACCAAAAAACAAATGGTTCTGGAAATACAGGATTTAAAAAGGGACCATCAATCAATAGAGTGCAATAATGGAGCAATAGGAGCACTAAAAGGGAATCTGATATTGAGGTTTTCTATGAGACAGAGTGCTACATGCTGCTGCTTTTTGTCAGCTATTCCCTCAGAACTTAACACTTTTCAAAAGAATGTAAATAAGTAATGAGAATATTTGTGCCCTCTGTTCTGTCTTGCTTTAGAAAATTGGAAGGAATGGTGATTTCTGAAGCGTTGGTGGTGATTAGTTTGAGTTTGGTGACATCTGCTGGTCAGCCGTTTCCATGCAGGGCTCTCCCCAACAGCAGTATCTGCATGAAACGTGTACAGAGATCAGTTGGGTGGACATCATTCTTAAGTGACTTTGGATAAGAGCGAGTTTACAGCCTAACTCTAGGTGAAAAGCTGGTGAGCTGTGTCTTTGAGGGTGAAAGCATCTTTTGGCTCATGTTTCTTACGTAAGTAGCAACATTGTTTAGCAAAATTGGTCATCTGAATGTATTTTATCCTGGATGATGAAGGAGTAATATAAGCAAGAATATAAAATTCAAAACAACTACTTCGAGGTAGAATTTGCATAATCATAGAATTTACACAGACATCTGATGACTACCTAAATACCTGACATAATGAAGCACTAAAGAGTTGTTCTAAACATTAAATACTTCACCTGGCCTAAGTGTCTGATGTTGTAATAGTTTCCATCTTATTAAGAAGTCAACATCTTGAACTGTTTTTTTCTAGAAAGAGAAGCACTCCAGATGACCATGATTACAGCCTCTTAAGAGAACTCCAAGCTCTCATATTAAAAATAAAATAAAAAAAACCAAACAAAATAAAACCCCAAAAAGTAAACACTACTGAAACCCTTGCAGAGCAGAAAGAATTTGAGTTACCTTTAAATTGGGCAAACTGAAGCACCAAAGTACAGAAAGCTTAGTGTGTCTTGTAACACAGTCAACCCTAAAATCTACTCACCCAGGACTTCCATTTCTGTGCCTTAAAATACAGGATAGTAGTTCCTGTCGGTTATTTGTAGCTCATTTCTTACAACTGCTAGTTACTGGAAAGCATTTAACCCAGCCTCTCAGGCTCATGATGTATGTGACCATAATGGCCATGTAAGAATTGTTTTTAATGTAATTTTACTTCCACATAACTCTAGCAAACTTGTTTTGTACAGAAATGATGGTAGTAACTGCTTGCGAGACTAAATCTCTGAAAATAGATGGGGAAAATAAATGCAGACCCATCTGACCCTTCTTTGGGTCACTGCTTTGCTTTTTAACAGTATCATATTCGTTTCTTTTGGGCCTCACCTTGATCCATCCGGTTTGTGTACCAGGAAGCAGACATGCACTTCAGAAATGACTTTTTTTGCACAGCTGGAGTCTTGCAGTTGTATTAAAAGCTATTGATGTGAGAAGTACATCACAGAAATAAAGAGAGTCTATTCTGTGTGCCATCAGGGTTTTCTTACAGGACAACTAAGGAGAAAGATGTTCCAGGTGTAGCCTCGCAGGCTGTCTGTTAGGGATTCAGTGATTACACTGTGCTTTGATTTACGCTGTGCTACCATTCATACCTACTTATTTTTCCAAGTAAATGGCAGTTACACCTTAACCTGGGGTGCTGCTGAAAATTTGCCTTTTTAAAAACATGATTTAAAAGACTTCAAAATTTGTTGTTCTAACGTTAGAAAGCTTCTCCCAATATAATTTAATTTTCTCCTGTATGTAGTAATAATAAATACAAAGCTTTAAACAAAATAATTTTTTTTTCCATGTTTTAGCCCTCTTCATTGCTTTGAACTTGCCCTAATATCTTCTTTTTCTTTCTTTCTTTGTTTTATTCACCGTGGTCTGTTTTTGAAGTCCCAGCTCTTCAAAAGGTAAAACTTCTGGCAGTGGCAGTTTTTCTCCTGTTACTAAAGGATAACTTTCTATAGTTTGCTATAACTTTCAGCAGCTTTAGTAACTTTGGAACTAGCACAGAAGCAACTTGTATTGAACATAAGTCTAGAAGGCACACGATGCTTATGAAGTCATAAATGTTGCAGTTAAAAGAATCTGCTTTACTTGGAGAAGGATTTTGGCAAAACAAATCCAGACCTCCACAAGCAGTGTTGTACCATTATGAAGAGAAAGCTGGTTTCTTGCTTTCTTTTTGGCTAAAGCTATCACTGTATCTTCCACCTTTTCTTTTGCTATTACCTGAGTTGTATCAAGAAGCTTATGCAATAACATAAGCAAAACTCTTATTAACTGACTTGAACCATGAAGCTAGGTTGATATTTAATCTGAATAGTGTACATTTTTGTGATTCCATCCTAAGCATAAAGTCAATATTTTTCAAACTTAAAGCCAAAATTAGCCTCTCAGTTTATTATTCTCAGCGTACGTAAAATCTCACTGTTCTGCCCTTTCCCCACCTGTAGCTTCAGTTCTCTTTTTTTCAGATGTGATTTTGGTTATGGAGGGAGATCACAGCAGACCAGAATGTGCTTTTCCAGGTGCTTGTTCTGTCAGATCTTCTCATCTATATATGCCTTAAAGAACAGGAAACTTCTCCTTACATAAACAAGTGAAATTAGAGAAGTTAAAAAAAACAGGCCTCCCTTCTGTGAAGAATATGACTGCCAGGACAAAAATAAACTTTCCAATGGTACTTTTGAGATAAACTTACCAACAGTGACCAACTTTTATAATCCTGCACTTAAGTCATGATATTTTATTAATACTGTTCCACACAGATGAATTTAAGACAGTCCATTACATCGCTTTTTAAAAAGGCATTTAAGTATAATAATTTCAAAGAAACATTCCTCACAAGCTTTTCAGTAGTAGTGCTAGATGGGCACAAGCTCACTTGTACCAGAAGCATCCCATTCATCAGCAAGATTTGGAGGCCCTTGGGTATTTCTCAAAGACAATTGGTGTTTGCCACCCAGGGAAGCAAGTCCTGCCCAGAAATGCCCAGTACACAGACTGTCAGAAAAGAGAAGCTCAGGCAAACCAAGAGGGAGAGAGATATTTTGATACTGTCACTTACACTTTATGGGTAAGAAAAGCATCCTAAAACTGCATACGTGCAAGGGGCACACCCTGTATAAAGGAGAACATACATGTTTTAATCCAGATTTGTGACATCAACCACTTATCATGCTTCTTACAGGTAGCCGAGTGGTTTGAGCGTTCAGGACTGCTAATGCCAAGGTAAAGACTTGTGTAAAAATAATTGTGCAGTATTTTCTGAGGCCTGGTAATGTTAAACTAAAGCAACTAGTGTAAATGAGCATATTCAGATAGATTTTTTTATTTTAGATGCCTCGACATTCTGTAGTGCAGTACTGCTGATGACTGAGTCTGGACAAACACTGCAGAAGAATCAGCAGCTGGTACATCTATACCAACTGAGCAGTGCCAAATTCTGATGCTTCGTCTGAACACTGTACTACCTGAAAATATCTGGTAATTTTGTAGTTTTTTGCTTTTTTTTTTTTTTCATGGACCAGTGAGCATTATCCAGTATATGTGCAGATGTGTATATAGCAAACAAAACTACAGGTAGCAAACTTGTCTTGGTCATTCTGTCATATCTCTCATAGGTAGGGCAAAGACCGTGAAGGGGTCAGATACCATGGCTAGATAAACACTGTATGGTTCATATTATTGCACCTTTGGTTGTAGCTGTAATCCTGTAAAATGAACTGGTAAGAGCTATTGAAGACAGACAAGCCTAAAATATCATAGCAGTGCTTTTTCAGATTCTCAGTGCCACAGTTGAACAGTACTGTATACTGCTTTAGTATGCTGAGCATGTGCGTGCCCTCTGTTACACTTTTACCCACGAGATCCCACCTTTGCTTCTGTGCCATTGCTGACTGTCATGCAGCTCAAGAACCTGCTCAGGCCAAAAACTGAATTGGCACGATTAATAGTGTCATACATCAGCTTCAGCAGCCTCTGGCTACAGAATGAGCTGTTTGAGCCTGCTGATTCAGCAGAAAGCTGATCTTGCCCCCTCACGCCCCAATTATTCCATCAGAATAGTTCAGTGAAACGATATATTCTTTGGCCTCAGTACTGTGCAAGGAGGTTGGAAGGGGAGCGCAGGAATGGTGACCTTGGGCAGGTCACGGGAGAAAAAGACAGGGCTAAAGAACTGCACCTCCTGCAGCTTTTTAATGTTTTCAAATGTTTCATCATCAGATTGAACAGTGGCAATTGATAAAACTCAGCATCTGATCAGCCCAAACTGCTCCTGGCACAGCTCCCTGTAGTTACAAACACATTAAGTCAGCACTGCTAGCAAAACAAATTATGTTGTCTTTCCCTGGTCACCACTTCTGACCTTAGCATCACCTTTCCTGTTGGCTCTAATGTTCTCATAGCCAGGGATAGAAAAAAAAAAAAAATTATTTTAAGTGAAAACAGTATTTTTTTTACCAAATATGTGTTTGTATGGATGAGTTATCCCATGTACTTCACTAGACAAGAAAAAGAGCTTTATGTGTTAAAGAGGTGAAGCAGGTGCCAAGCTGAAGGGGAATTCTGCCGTCGTCACCCACGTGCCGCGGGGCAGGCGATGCAGAGGCGCTGAACCTGGCGGAGCACCTGCAGCCTTCTTCGTTAGACTGAACCAGATGGAGAGGGTGATCTCACGTGTAAACACACCGCTGGGTCTAACGGGGTTCAGTACCAGATAGAAGCGACTTTGTTTAATGCGTGGGGTTTACAGCAACAGTTCTGCCCAAAAACAAACATTCAAAATGCAGACACTGTTTGCTAATTGTTAGTGATTACAACAGCAAATGGGATTAGGCATGCCTACAGCCAGCACTGTCTTGCTATCGGATTTGCAACAGTTATCCCGTCTACTTTGCAACCAAATCAGTTTCCAGCGGTTGAGACCAAGTTCTCGTGTGTCTCTAGAGCCTGCGTTTCAATTCTAAGTAGCGAAGATTAATCGCCAGAAAGCGCATAGCAAGTCTGGGAGCATCTTTCTATCGCACCGCTCCTCGGCAGTTACTCGATTGCTGCCTTTCTCTCTCGCCGTGCGCTGCTCCGTTCCACAGCGAGCCATCTCCACACGAACTCCACCCGCATCCCCGCGAGCTCGCCCCACAGAAAGCCCGCGGACTCAGCTCTCCGCAGCTGCCTCCCCTCACGCGCCTCCCGCCCCGCGGCCGCCTCCAGCCAATGGCGGAGCCGCTTGCTCGCCGCGCTCGCGCCCTCCAATGGGCGGCGCGATTGTTGGCCTGCGGCCCGGGGAAGCCGCACCCTGTCGGGCGGGGGCCAAGGGGGGGGGGGGGGGCGGAGCTCGGCGCTGGGGCCAGCGGCGGAGGCGACGGGCTCGGCGGAGAGGTTGCCCGTTGCGGCCCCGTCTTTCTCCTTTCGTCGCGCCGGTGCCCGCCGTTTTTTCTCATCCGCCCACGGGTGAGCGCTGCTGGGGCGGGCCGGAGGGGGCGAGGAGGAGGAAGGCGAGGGGCGTGCGCGCGCTGCGGAGGGGCGCAGCCGTTAACGGTCCGCGGCGGGCGGGGGCGCGGCCGGCGGCAGCGGCGGCGGCGGTGGAGGCGCGCGGGGCTGCGAGGGGCAGGAGAAGCAAAAGCGGGCGGCGTCGGTAGCGGCTCGCGTGGCCTCAGGAGGAAGGGAGGGGGTTGTGGAGATGCCTCGAAAACAGACGGCCGGAGCGGGGGGGTGGGAACGCGGCTGCTGCAGCCCGTTGCGGGGCGGCGGCGGAAGGTGCGATCCGGGCGGGATGCGGCGGCTGCGGGCAGCTCTGTCAGCTGGGCGCCGCGTTGCTGCCGAGTTGCTGCTGCTGCTGCTGCTGCTGCTTCCA